ACCAATAAGGGGGTTGTGAGAGATTTTTTTACATGACACCATGTACCACGACAGAGATTCCCCTTGGATTCTCTACAACCCTCAATTGCATAATGTCACTTCTTAGACGACACCTGGCTGTACCCTCCCTAACGCTTACACATGTACATAATAATAGCAGCAGTTACACATCTAAGCCTTTTTTTCGCCATAAATATTCAAAATGCTACATGTTGTTTTTCAATATGCCTGGCAATTTAGACTTGGCACTCTCATTTCACTGCATGTTTATTCCTACTATCTATTTCCTAGTTATAGTTAAGTGCTTGTACATGCAGTCCAGTTTTATGCAGCTGCAGCTCTATGGGTAACCTGAAAAATGAAAACATGATCTGTAAACTCTCCCCTGAGTTTAAAACTGTCAGTAACCAATCATTTTTTCTGATGAACCTATGGTCTCAATCCCAGTCTCGAATGTGAGGGTCAGTGTTGTAAATTGTGAAGGGACAGAGGGAGAGAATGTTCTGATCTGTTTGTCTGACTACTCTGTTGGTTGAGCAAACTGGTGTTGACACACCCAGTTTCAGCAGGTATGTGGCAGTCAGCCTGTGAAAGACTTCCCTCTCCTTCTCATGTCACTGTCTGCTCTGCTTCTCCTGAGATGTTGAGTTAAAAAATATATATGAACTTTTAATTCCAATAGGCCAAGAGGTGTCCATTTGATCACGGCCTACAGGAAGGCTTCCTTCATGTCTATGGGATTCTTTTTTATTCAATCTCACAGTAGAGCAATGGTGAAGTCATACTTTAGAATATAACAAAAATATATATAAAAAAAGCAGCTCTGTAAAAGTCCAAAATGAAGATATGGTAGATGTAACAATCTAAAAAAATATGTTTTCTTTTTTCTAACTCCAACTTTGGCTTATGTTCATATGTACATTTTAATTACAGATTTTATGCTTTACAAAATAAACGAGGACAAGTACTGACACCATACTGCGTTATCCTGTGAAATTTCGCCAGGAGAACTATTAATCTTTATTAACTCAGATGTGAGTCAGACCTGTATTCCAACTTTTATAATTTAGCGGTTTTGGGAACCATGGCCACAACTACCCAGAATTGGCCTCAAGTAAAGAAAAAATAATCATGGATATCAAAATCATCATTATCATATCATTTTCAAATGAGATGTGTAATGAAAGAGCTAATGCTTGGTTCAAGGAGAAATGTTTTTTTTACTTTCAGACTTGGACATCCTCTTTGAAATGATAATGTAATAAGGGGTTCAATAACTGTCTTTTTTGTTATTTATTGTGGTGAGACTAAACTTCAGCAAGATTTCCTTTAACAGAACGGTTTTCCCCTTTATCTCTACCACAGTTTGCGTACCTGTTTCAAATCTTGAGAATTGTTTAACAATATCAGAAAGTCTGCTAAGGCCTCGAGCCTGACCTGACATAACAGAACATAGTGAAAAACTGTAAGTTAGTGGTTATTTAACAGAATGACTAATATCCTGATCAGTGTGTTATGTGGGCAGAGTGACATGGTCCACAGCTGTGTGATTACTGGGTTTGTTCTCACTGTCTAGGCTTTTCTATCTTACGGATTTAGAAGTGGAACAAGGTCTGTGTTTACCATGTGTTACTACTTAATGTTGATGATGTTAGGTGTTACAATGCTTTATTTTAATTTATTGGTTATTTGTAATAGGGCTACTCAATTATGGGGGGAAAATCATAATTATGATTTTGTTTTGGTCAATATTGAAATCACTATTTATTTTTACTCTGGAAACAATGCATTTCTTTCGTATTATGAACATCAAATGTGATATTTACTTCCACTTTGTTCACCTTCCTTTAATTTCTCTGTAATTAATCAAGTAAATGGCTGCATATGATTTGCCTAAAAAAAAAACCCACAGTATATTCAATTTGCAATTTAATGCAATGCCAGAATCTCTTTGCTCGTATTTTAGTGCACTGCCAATCATATAAATGTATTCACAATTTTGCAAAAACAATAATTACTCTACTTCAGTCAGTAATTCAGTCTAGGATGTTGATGTGGTTCGACTCCGTAACCTTTTCTATAGCAGTATTAGTTCAGCATAAGTAAGATATTTGGCACGTTATTGAATGGTACATATGCCACATCAGTGAACCTACTTCACTTTTTTGCTGAATAAGCACTTCCACTTCTCTCTATTTGCAATCTCCTCCTGCTGCCCCGTCCTCTTTCTGCTGTCTTTACTCACACTAAATTATGGGGGAGAGGGAGAGGACCTGTGAGTTTAGTCTTTCTTCCAAACTGTAATTCTTTAGAGCATTGCAACTGTAAATTCTTAACTAGGTGCTATACTTTCAAACTAAAAAATAAGGTTTGCTTAAATTTATTTGCCTTTTGTTAAAGTGAAAACTGTAACTGTACACGTAAGTTCAGTCTGACTGTTGAAATTACATGTTTGCTTTGGGAACTCTTAAAGAGACAAACATAAAAACTTGTACGTTGTTTTTGATGCAATGTTTTCATGAGCAGAAGTTGCCATGGGAACTGCCATTGTCCCCGAGAGGCAGCTCCAATGAACATACAGTTGCTTTCGTGAGAAATGCTTCTGCTGAGTTTTTCCTCTTGGCAGGACAATGAGTTTTATTGAATTAAGCTGATCATGCCTGCAAAACCTGTCATTCCTTTATTAGAACGAGTGACAGTGGTATTCCTAATTATGCTTCACTAATAAAGACGATGCAGAAAATGCAAATACATCTGCATAAGTTGCAGAGCAAACATAATTAAATTTAATCTTAAAATCAACTAGAAAAAAGTACATGACACTCGAGTTTCCATAGCAAATACTCCACATTGGCTGCAGTATAGAAGAAGGTAGAGAAAACGCTAACAGGAAAGGTTTTTCTATCAGGATAAGTGATTTAGTGATTGTTTTAGATTGTGGGAAAACTGTTGTAGTAACTCATCACAGCATAACACAAGATTTTCTCTCTACCAAATGAACACCCGTGGTGTCATTAACATAAATGCTTAAATGTAATTTATTTTTCAAAACCTTATCTCACAAATGTATTTTGTTGTTTAATATATTTTTTCAATTCCTTGTGATAGAAGCAATAAAATGGAGCTTTTTGTTAAATTACATCATGAATGTTTAACGTACTGTTCTGACAAGACGCAGGCAGTTGAACTTGTATATATGATATATACTAAACTCTCATACTCCTGAACCCAATAGTCATGCATACATCCACTTCAGTATCTAAAGATAAAGTAATTTCAAAACAAAGTTCCTTATAAGCTTTGTATAAAAAATCTTAATGATTACCTAATCAATGATCTTTTTTTTTTTTTACACAGAAAATAAATGGCTGTTGAAGTACAAGAGGCTTAGGTTCCTTTTCGCTCTGTTAATCCACCCATGTCTTCTTCTCTTCTTTGTCACACCAACTGACTCCCATGAATTCAGCATTTTAGTGTGTGACCTTTTCAGTGGCCTTACAGACAGTACAAACCTAATATTTGCTGAACAAAACTTGACTGTGTATTTTGCTGTGTGCCAGAGACCTAGGGCTTTATTTGTAAACTATGTCTGGAACCTCACCTAAACATACATCCAGACTCTACCAGTGCAGGAAAACAGTCCCATTTACAGTTACTTGTCGTAGACAAGGAAAACAGATTTCACTTCTTGTGAAATCGACCGTTGAAGAAGGTAAATTGAACAAGGTAAAATTGTTCACATACAGCCTTCGCCGCAGACTTTGTGGTTAGCTGTCAAGGTCAAGGAGGTGTAGTAATATAAAAAACATGCATAGCTAAAAACTATGTACATTTTTGTGAAAAGGGGCATTTTATAATTATGTTTTTGTGAGCATTATGTTACAGATATACATCAGTTGCTTCCTTAGCTACTATTGTAGATTACTGACTTTTTAAAAAGAAGCACCAATACTGGTGAAGATCAACTGAAAAGCTAAAGAAAATTGAAAGCAGTGCCTGTCAGCTCACCTGGCACCGCTGCAACTGTACCAGCTAAAACCTATGACAAAGTAAACATCAGTGTTGGGTCTTGACAGCTGATATCTATATGCACATTTCAAAGATATAGTTTGTCTCTGAGGAGAACTCCAAATCTACTTTCTGCAGTTAAAAACCTCTAGTGTACGTGTTGTACCCAATTGGGCATTCGGGTGTGGTGTTGTTGAATGTCAAAGTTTTATATCCTTAGTTTTTCAATATAATATTTACAAACAAATTCCTTCATATTACGGGTGCACCATTTGAACCATACTGTGTGTTGCCAACCAATAATATTGTGCATTTCTACTTTATAGTGCGAATATCATTGTGTCACTTCCTTTAGGATAGATAATCATGTCATTATTTCGTAGCGGTCCCATAGTTTGGTCGTCCGGTGTTTCCCAGTTTTACCCTAATAAACGTAGGGTAACATTAGCTGTAGGACCATGAAATCTTATGATACATCAGGGAATACAAACATTTCACTCTCTGAAATGTGAAAGTGAAACATCCTGCAGTACATGTAGTCCTGGCCGCAGCAGGAGATCAGCAAACAATGCTTAACTGACGGATGTACTTTGATGATGAATGCACACGACAAACATTGGGCCTCAACTCAAATACAAGCTAAGGACCTAAAACAGACTTTAAAAAAACAATGATTTGGTTATTATTTATCTATTTGTGAGACCATCTGATCACCGACTCGTTGAGACTTAAAATATTGTGTGGAGAGGATTAATAGTTAGCCATGTTTTAATTTGTGTCACTGTTTGCTCTCAGACAGGTGTATTGCCTGAATACAAGCTACTGTTAGTTGTTTAACTGGTACATCAAGTGAGAGTTCTAGGCTTGACATTTATGTACTTTTGTGCTACGTTTACTTTGCTATATTTTGTATATTTCACTCATCCTTAACTTAGTAAGTAATTTCAGTTACTTCAGTTCATGAACAGTTTTTGTCTTTGTCTTTCCTTCAGGTACTGGAGAGAGTGGCAAAAGCACTTTTATCAAGCAGATGAGAATAATTCATGGTTCAGGCTACTCAGATGAGGACAAAAAGGGCTTTACCAAACTGGTGTACCAGAACATCTTCACCTCCATGCAGTCCATGATCCGGGCAACTGAGACCCTGAAGATCCCCTACAAGTACGAGCAGAATAAGGTAAGTACTCTCAAGTATTGTTGTAAAAATATTTTTGTGGTAATAACTTTTGCTTGTCACTCTAAATGATACAATTTGAATGTACAAGAGGCTGTGTTACATTTGATTGAAATTGAAATTTTTTGCTTATGACAGCATTTATTAGCTTTTACAATCAATCACTTTAATTAAAAGTTGATAGAGATAATAATAATTTAATTAGACCTGTGTCAAAGGCAAACCATCACACTCAACACTCTTAATGTCATGCTGTCCAGTGTAGTTTTAGAGAAGATCTATGGAGTCTCAGCACAGACCTGCCTCTATACCAGCAGTCTGAGTAGACTACACATCGAATATTGAAACAAGAGTCGTATTAAGTCCTCAATGGACTCACAAGTGACAAAACATCTTACAGTTATGCAGCTTTCTGATTTCAACTTGGGAATAGTCTTGGTGAATGGAATTGCTGTAAAGATCAGGGGAAACAAACTTAATGTGTTAGATCATGACTCAATCATACATTAAATATTTGGCTGTAGTCAATGCAAATTTTTTCCACTGCACATTTCTGTCCACTTTTATTGTTGTTTTCTTTTTTTTTATCGTAGCCTAACCTAAAACTAACATTTAATACAACTATTACTATGAACATATAATATGTATTTATGGTAATTTCTTCAAACATATCCCCCTGCTAGTTAGTACATAATATGCTGGATTACAGCATATTACTTTTTTATTTTCTGTGTGAATCTTCCAAATTCAGTGTGCACTAGTCAAAAGCATCAAAGCAGCACTGTGTTATTGAACCATTTTTAATATACTTCATTGGTGTTTTCCCTTAGAATAATGCCCAGCTGGTGCGAGAGGTTGATGTGGAAAAGGTGTCGTCATTTGATCACCCCTACATTGACGCAATAAAGATGCTGTGGGATGACCCTGGCATTCAGGAGGCCTATGATCGCAGAAGAGAGTACCAGCTCTCAGACTCAACCAAATAGTATGTTGATCCTAAATTTATTGTTGATCAAATGTTAAAATGTGTGCTGATGCAGATCTCAAACAGTTTGGTGTTAATGAAAAGAAATGGCTGCAGGTTAATTCTGGTGAAATGGTGAAGTGTTGACAGATCTGTGTATAACTGTGTCACTGACCATTGATTCATTGATTCATTCCAGACCAGCATGTCTCGGTTAAACAGTTGAGACTCGTGCAAGGTTGTGTTGTAAATGTTAGTTTTGACCGAGGCCATTTGTGTTTGTTCTTAGCATGTCAATGTATTTACTCATACTGTGAGCGATTGTTTGCCTACATGTACATTTCTACCCTGTATCCCCTCCCCTTCCACAGTTACCTTAGTGATTTAGAGCGAATAGCTACAACCACGTACGTGCCTACTCAGCAGGATGTCCTGCGTGTCAGAGTGCCTACCACCGGCATCATTGAGTACCCATTTGATCTGGCGGATAGTATCTTCAGGTACCAGCGTCAAGTGTTGCTGAACACTGGTTGACCAACTGCTTGACAGCTGGCCAGTCAGTTGGAAACCGCCGATGCCGCCATCCACCTTTTGCCTTGTGCTGCGCAGCAGGACTTAGTGTTGTACCTCATCCCTGATGGTATACTCTCAAAGAATGGCCTCAAGAAGAGGGTTGTAGTCCTCCGTCAGCACTCAGCAGAAAGGCAATATTTTCTCAGGCAGTCAAATTTTGGCATTGTGAGTGTATAATCCTCGGCACGATGAAATTAAAAGCCGTGAGAAAAAGCAGTAGATTGCTTTATCTTTGGGGGTTACCATCAAGGATGATTCTTTATTCCTAAAAGACTTTGTGGGGTGATGGCACTATATCTCACCGTATCCCTTGTGTCCCTCATAACTCTTGGGAATGATTTTTCGCCTTTGGGTTACATCTTGGCTGGTTCACTTGCTTTTGGAGAGGGTGTTCTGTGTCTGCTGTTATGCTTCACTTTCTCTTTTCCTCCCTCTCTATTTCTGTTGTTGTCCTTTCGTGTTTCTAGCTATCTAAGTGATCTGGATCGCATTGCCGAAGCATCCTATCTACCCACCCAACAAGACGTGCTTAGGGTTCGAATCCCAACCACTGGTATCATAGAATACCCTTTCGACTTGCAAAGCATCATTTTCAGGTAGAAGAACGAGCACACTTTGTGTTTTACTAACCTGAGTTTTGAACAAGGCAACTGTTCTTTTTGTATTCTTAAAACAAACAAAAGGTTGTTTGACTCTCCATTTGGTGGGTCTTTTTTGTACATTTAAACCAAAAGTCTTAATATTTCCCTATGTTGTTAATAGTACTTAGGGTTTTTATCCTACATATGACTGAACATTAAAGTTAAAATGTTACAGTAAACCTACACAGTATTATCTGGAATAGTTATGACTAGATTAATGGACAGACAGTCACACATAACCACAGGGAGCTGTTAAATATAATGTCATTCTAAAGTTCTGTGTTGTTCTTTCCAAGTCTGTCATATGTGTGTATTTGTTTTGTAGGTGTAGCTGCTGTGTCAAGTTATATATTAGAATATTGAAAGTCAAATCTACTTTTTTAAATATTTAATTATTGTGTTGTGTTTTATATGTAATATTTCCAGTCACGAAACTTAAAATGACTGAAGATGTCAGAACCAAAAACCTTAGTCCTTCCACAGATAAGCCCATCATTCTGAGTTTTATCACCATCTCTGGACCAGGAGATGGTGTGGAGATGGTGATTGGGTCCAGGCAACCAGAGAAATTTTACAGAAGAGTGCAGATCAATAGCAAACCATCATGTCAGCCCACTCCTATGCCATGGAAGGCTTGAAATAACTCAGCTTGCTGTGACGCGCTAGAGAGGTTCCCGGCTGGCCTGCAGTGTGTGACAAGCACATGGGACCAGGCCGCTGCTGTTGTCCACTGACAAGGAAGACTTTTGCACACATGCATGTTTACAAACTGTGCATGTTTCCTGCTTTTCGTTCCTTCTAAAGAATGGAGGATTAAGGATTTTGTTTTGTGCTAATGTACTTGGGATAGGAAAGCTTCACGTAAAGTAGGCCACTCATCTCTGCAGGAAGAAAAATAAGGATAGCCAATGTGAAGGGATTTTTTTTGTACAAACTTGGATCACTTTTGTGATTTGTTCACATTTAACTTAAGTTAGGGTGTTTTTAAAGTGAAAAGGGCAGATATTAGTCTAAATGACCAGATAAAATCTGAAATTGCCCTGCTCCCTACTTACAGCAAATGATCACTTGGATTTTGATTAAAGTTCTGTTTTCTTGGAAAGGGTGAGCATCAGAATCAAAAGCCTTGTATAATATTTCCCCTTCTTGATGTAATGTTAAGCTGCTGATTCATTTTGTATTCAGTTTTCCTCATATTATTTTCCTTTCACTAATTATTTTCTCTCTTTTTACTTTACTTTTTTTTCTTTGCCCTTAAATCTCGTTTCTTCTTTTATTTTCTCAGGGCAATAAAAGGTATTTGGCTTGATGTACAACACAGTCTATGTTTAATAAAAAAAAATGCTGTTCTTCTAATATTGTTTAATATTTAATCAACATAATTAAAAAAACTATGACATCAGTGAGTCTACACATAAAGGTGTTCATATAACAACCCACTGGGCTTCACAAGTAACATTAAAAAATGTACTTTTTGCAGGACAAATGCCTTTAAGCTCTGTCTGACTATCTTTCGTAAAATCATTTTTCTGTTTTCAAGTGAGCTCTTCCCTTTGCCTGACCTGGTCTGATTGTTTTCAAGTTATTCTTTCACATAACTTTATTTTGCAAATTGGTCAAAGCATGCATTCTAGCAGTAAAAAAAATAGGAAAGTGAGGTGCTAATTGTTTACATTTTATCCTGTTTTTCGTCATCCCTTCTCCTTGTGCTTCTACCAGAATGGTGGATGTGGGGGGCCAGAGGTCTGAGAGGAGAAAGTGGATCCACTGCTTTGAGAACGTGACCTCCATCATGTTCCTGGTGGCTCTCAGTGAGTATGACCAGGTCCTGGTTGAGTCTGACAATGAGGTGAGTCACAGACGAGGTAGTACTGTATGTTGTTGCCTTTTCACACTATATTTTATTAGAGCAGGTTTTCTCTTTGACCATATGAGAACAAAAACATGTATTTATTCTTTACATGTGTAAGGTGTTCTTTTGAGACAAGATTACATATATTGATTTAAACATGATTGTCTGATCTAAATATCTTGTATGAACATATATCCAGATATTGGTAAAACTCAATATATCATCCTGTCCTGTATTAGAGTAAGGACATGATTCATGTCAAAACTAATCCAGACATGGGTTTCAGTCTAGTGATTCATAGCCTCGTGATTTTATCAGGTCAAGTCAGGTAGGATTACATAATCTCATCTTTACCAGCTACTATGAGAGTGATAGTGGCAGGGAGTTAAAATTACAGTAAGTACGTTTCAGGCTTTACTTATTTCACCTCGTGTACATTCACTATATATGATGGAGCCACAGAGTACACACATTGGGAAAGGGGTTGTGACAGATTTATGTCATTTATTCTGTTACTTAAACTTTTCACTGTGACACCATCCGCCTTCATTATACACTCACATGGTGTACATTTAAATTAAGGAGTTAGCCTTATTAGTTGTGGCTAATAGCTACAGGCAACTTTAGGAGTTGTAAAACTTAACATATCACATTATGGATCAAACTTTTGCTACTACTTTTCTCAAGGGATTCTTTTTTGTGATGGAGAAGCAGGGAGCTGGTTATATATTGGAACTCAGTTCCAATATATGATCTCTGTTGCTGTCTGGTTTTCCTCCCACTTCATGCAGGAAGTGCCAGAAGTTTAGTTTGGAATCGCTGCATGGGTTCAGTTAATTCTTTATGAATAGTTTTATAAAATGCACATTCAGTCTGTAGTGAAAGCTAAAGTTAGATCTGCAACACTTTATTTTTTATAAACCCTTGAATATCTAGAAACCACACACTAAACATGGCTCCTCAGTAATGAGCAGTCGAGATGGAATCCTTGACATGGAATGCAGTAATTCATTCATCTTAATCAAAGTCTCATCTGTGCAGGTTGCTATAAATAACGAAACCTCTGTTTAATTCTCTCTGGCTGCTCGATAATGTTGCATACTAAATGGATGCCAATGTTCTCTTTTCTCGGACATCTTCGACCGCCGTCAGAATCGTATGGAGGAAAGTAAAGCTCTGTTCAAGACCATCATCACATATCCCTGGTTCCAGAACTCCTCCGTAATCCTCTTCCTCAACAAGAAGGACCTGCTGGAGGAGAAGATCATGTACTCCCACCTGGTGGACTACTTTCCAGAGTTCGATGGTCAGTTGATCATGCTGTTATCAGATTTGGATACAGAAAGACCATTCCAAAATGTACTCAGTTGTAACATTTACACACTTTCTCTTTTGTTGGTTCCGTCTGCATTTGAAGGATAACATTTGTAGGTCTGTGTGCCTCGAATGCAGACATTAAGGTGGTGATGAGGTTTACTTTTTTGCCCATCTCTCTACCTTTGTTGTGTTTTTTCCTTCGCACGACCATGCATAAGAAGGTTGAAAAACACAAATAATTGCATGACAGACTATATTTGAATCATTCCTAATTATTGGATTAATCTGCTAGGTTTAAAGTATCAGTGTTTATTTTTGGCTGCAGCGTTTGAAAATGTTTATTTTATGTCCTCTCCATCATTAACATGGGCTACTCAGAATCGTTATGCTCCGATTTTGATGAAACGCTGACACCCCATGGTAAAAAGGGTGAAGTGTACATGGAGCAGAAGACGTAACAAACTATCTACTTACTCACTAGATCAGAATATTCAGTCAGAAGTTATTTTCCATTTCTTCCTTGTTTGGTGTGAAAATAAAAATGTAATCAAAAATATATATTCATGCATGATTTTCATCATGCATGATTAACCGAGATAAAGCAACATCTCTTTATTTTACTACCAGTAAGTGTAATATTAATGACTGTCAGAGGGAGGCGTTGGAGGGTCCTATGACTCCAGGCAGCAATAAATAACTGTGACGCTCTGCAGTAACTCTTTAACTGACGGTGCTCCTGTGTCTGACCAGCACACTCTGGTGGCGTTGGTGGAGAATTACAATTACATGTGCCTTTTGATCTCGTAGGTCCTCAGAGGGATGGCCAGGCTGGTCGCGAGTTTATCTTAAAAATGTTTGTGGACTTGAATCCAGATAGTGACAAGATCATCTACTCCCACTTTACATGCGCCACCGACACGGAGAACATCCGGTTCGTCTTTGCAGCCGTCAAAGACACCATCCTGCAGCTCAACCTCAAGGAGTACAACCTTGTCTGAAGAAGGAATGGCATCTGACCCCAGAAAGCAAGCAAGAGACCTGCAAACACACACTCACACAAAATCACACAATCTCTCGACAAACAACAAATACTCCGCTGTTCAGACACAAATAAGCTTTGCTTTATACTTTTCCACACCAACACTATGTTTTCTTAACATGCCTTTTCAGTTGTACAACTGTTTTGTTATATTATGGTTTGCTCCTCTTGCACAAACACTCACGAGCGACGCTATTTCAACCCTGGTCCCCCCATCTCTCTTTGGGAATTGTGATCCTTGGGTTCTCCTACGACACTTTTTTACACTACATTACCACAGGTGCTTGTAAGTGAAGGCACTTTTTTTGTAGAGTAAGCTTTTATAAACCAAGGGCTTTTTGCTCTCTACATTTAACCTATCCCTGCACCCGTGCATGTTATACACTACAGGATGATGGTACCAGGCCAGACCACAGAGTCTGGACGCTCCTCATCTTCTAAGGTGAACTAATTATGATGGTTATATATTAGCAGGTAGTGCTGTTGGATGTAAATAGATTTTGTGCTACTCACACAAAGGTGAGACTTTAGAGGAGATGACGTCACATTCTTGGAGGATTTTAAATATATTCAAATATATATATTTTTGCTCATTATTGCTTCTTATTGTTAAAAGAAAGACAAAAACAAGACACCACACTAACAACTACTTACACACTAATGGCCAACTCTCCTCTCATTTTTACTGCACTGCCAATTCTAACCATAAATGTGTTCTGTAAATATTGTTGTGTTGCCACTTTCCTGTTTAGATACCAACAGTAGATATTTGAAAGCTGACGTTGCCAAAGCAAATGTTGGCTCAGTCAGACATAGGTGTCCCAATTCCTCACTTTGTGAATCCATAACTTTTCCCTGTGTTTATTCAAAACTTGAGGAACCATCACAACAATCATCCTGTCCACCACAGGGTGTAAATAATGTCGGCAAATTCCTCCACTTAATCCACAATTGCAGATCAAATAAAGCTCCTGCGTTGCAAGATAAGCTCCGTAAAGTTTTCAATCATGGAAAAGTGCTCGTCTCTTTCATCACCTTGACAGTATAATTCACCAATGTTTGGTAAAATGTAATCAGTAGTAAAAGAGTAAATATTTCTTTAATTTATGAGTCTGCTTCACAGGCTGTCGACAGTGAATGATACTTACTCTGTAGTTTTAGTGAAGATTTCTAACTTACAGTAGGAGACAGAAGGAAACTTTATACTGCTGTAAAACACTGAGACATTTTTTGGACAGCTGTCTATCTTTCTAAGGATTCACATATAAAGCTGTTGGAGTTCTGCTTTTGAGATGCTTGACAACAGAGTAAAAAACATAGTTTCCATGTCAGGTTTAAGCTTAACGCTAATAGAAAATGAAAAAAGAAAACACTAAATAGTTTATTAATTACTGGTTAAGAAATCTAGCTTTTTTCCAGTTTGTTAGAATGTGTGTTGGTTATTGGTACCAGTTCCATTTTGTCTCTTTCCTGATGAGTATTAGAAAACTGCATTCAGCTGATATTTGATAAATAGCTACTTTTGTCTTCACAGCGTAATTCAGGTAAGTTTGCGTAACTTTTCCATCACAAGGGCTATTCTTAGTGGTCTGGGTAAGAGATTAAAGACTAAAGCAAAGGCCGAACAACACACGTCACCACGTGACGTTCCTTTGTAAAGTCTGCTCGCTGTTAGTCTCTTTATTTGCCAACTTTTAGGGAAGAAGAAAGAATAGGTGTAACAGCTTATTATATACGTCGTTAGCTATTACACCTAAACAATTATTTTTGCTTATTCACAAAACTGTCTGTTGATATTCTGGGCTTTATATTAAGTCCTTTCTATGTGATTATGCACATTTGTCTTAACTTGTCATGTAAAGTGTTGCCATGGTTGACTTTGGAGATGCCTGTTTTTGGTTTGGAAAATGGACTTTATTCATTCATTTATTAAGAAACGGTGCAATGTTTAAACCCACTCATATTAAACTCAAAACAATTTACCTTAAATTATTTGCCAAAATGTTTACACATTTTTTGTGATTTTTCTATAGAAAAAAACTTTTTAGAAAATTGAATATTGGAGCAGTTTTTCTCAGATGATTGGATGAATTAATAGTGGCCTCATTGATTGTTGTTCTGTCCTAGAGCACACTTTGCTTGGTCTGGATCTAATGCACTCCTTGTCTAAACTCCCACTTATGTTTCCATTTAAAAGTTTGATAAACTCTATTGGTCGGAGAAAAAGAGAACATTTAGCACATTTTCTATCAGATACTTTGATAACGTGCATAGTGGGTGATGACTAATGCAAGACTGTATTTTTTTTTCTTAAAAAAGGTTGGACCAAATGCTTTATTTAAAACAAATATGTTGTGACTGAATCACAAGGATTGATCATTTGAGAACCACTTATGTAGATGATGTTTTTTAGAAGTGCCACAGTTTTACCAAGTGTGGGAAGTCTTTGTCTCACCTTCTTGATTTAGCTTCCATCTACAACTCCAACACTTGTTTATTTACTTGGTGATGCACACAGGTCTGACAACATTTTAAATGAGGGTTCAAATTGACCGACAGTATTTGTGGTCAATCTGACTTTGAATTGTCAGACATTAAATATTTTTAAGAACGATCTTTGTTAACAGATAATAATTTGTTTTGTTGCAATTACATGAGGTGGTTGGATAAGGATGTTCTGACCCACCTTAATTATAAAACAGGGCTAATTTGTTAAATTTCACCAAATTGTATCGCTTCATAAGGATTTACTTTTTATGTTTGTGTTTCCTTTCTTTTGAGGCTACTTCCCCCTTGGTCTCGAGTACATGTGTGGCTTTTATACTTTTTTTCTGGAATGGAATTCAGTGTGAAACGTGAAGGTGACCAGAGTCTCTAACATTGTGTCCACAAGGTGTTACCCTCTGTATGTAGTTTTTACTGGCCAACAATACGTTGTTTTACAGCACCAATGCTGACATGAATTAAGACAAAAGACTCAATTACTTTCCTTTTACTCTTTTAAATAAATAATCAAATCAAGAACAATTCAAATGGTTTGACACAACTTACAAACACAGCATAGAAACAAAGGTCTACTTTCTAATGCTATTCATGGCCTCTGGAGGAAAGAAAATGCAGACATCAGATCACAGCAGCACTCCTGAACATTTTCATTCCCCTGTGAGCTCTGGGCTGCAGTACACTAAGATTCTTGGGGTTTCTCTTCTTCAAGTGTCTTCTTTATTTTCCACATGGTTTAAGTTTGGCCGTTCTGTTCACTCTTGAGTTAATCTAAGATGGATTTAAAAAAAAAAAAAAAACAAACTTGAAGGATTATTGACTTGTTGAAGCTCCAGTGACATTTAAATATCAGCCTGAGAGAAAAAAAAAAATAGCACAAGGAATCATCAAGCAAACATCTGGCAACTACAACGTTTCACATTAGCCAATTGGCATTCTATGTTCAAAATATTCCTTTTTTGTGCCATTTGGACTATGATTTTTTGTTCATTTATTGAAAACAATGTATTAAAATTTACCACTAGGCCTGATTTGAAATGAAAAAACAATTAGATTGGAGTGCATCTATATTTCTGATGGGTACCTGAGCGGTGGATAGAGGCAGAGCAAGGCTGGGTCATTTCTTTTAGCACGCTGTATTTGTGTGTACTGTACAGGTTATTGCTTATATCTACACATACAGCCAGTTTGAGGTTGAAAATAACAAAGTACAACAATCTAGTACAAAGCTCTGTGCCAAGGTGAAAAATCAACTCCAAAATATTATGAATTGCATATTTACAATAACACGACCCAGCTCTTGAGCCTCTGTGGATTCACTTCACAGCTGTTTCTAAAAGGGGGCTGTTGTGTTAGGCCTTATCGATGTATTTATTGAAACTTGTTCCAATTGAAGGTACTGAAGTGGTCTTTAAAATTTGGAGGTCATGATAACAAGTGTGTTTACATCTCTGCCATTCACCACTTTTTGCTCGTACTTGATTGGACTGTGTCTGAGGCTCCGTCTGCATTCATACAACTCAGGCACACTTGAAGGTACTCTGAGGGGTCTACAACCTTCATGGCTCGTATTCATGCTCGAGATCCATTCTGGTTGAATGCATGAAGCTATTAGAATCTATCTTTGCATTTTTATTTCCTCTCTTTTGTAAGGTTGACTCATCTTAACTTGTATTAATGTGTATTAAGGACCACTTAGGATTACAGATTTTTATAATTAAAAAAAAAAGAGTTAAACTTTGTGTAGTGGTGTATAAATTTAAAGTAGTGTTTTTTTTTTTAAGTATACCAAATGTAAATTATGTACGAGTGTGCCATTCTTTGTAAAGCCAGACTCTTAACAAGTGCCAATGTTGGGGAAAATCATGAGGGCCTGTAAATTTCTTGGTCCAGTTTTTTTTTTTAAATATACACTGTTTGTGATTAATTAAGAATTCTATATTAAAGAATAATAATGAACTGCTGTTTTTAACATAGATGTCATTTTAACTGCATGTGTTTGCCAAGAAAGAGGGGCAGTGGGTGGATGGAACTGTGTTCACTCAGTGCCCTGATGAAAAGGGGTTTTATTGGTTATTGATTTACTGTATTTTAGCCATATTTCTCTTTTGTATGTTTCATTTCAACCACTGTTGCCTGAACATCATTCAGACATGAAAATGATTTTTCATAGCCTTCTCCTTTCATTGTTTTACATTGAAATGAAATATGATCCTATATACAAATACTGCAGTTCTGCGTTTTGTTTTTCTTTTTTTATAGACATCCATAACCTTCCTTATAATCCAAACAGACATTACCATTTATTTATCATGGGAAATATGGGATCTTGAACACTAATGAGTTTAGTGGACTTTCTTAGAAGTAGATTTAAAATGTTCAGCCCAGACATAAGGAAATGTCAATAATTTACAATTGCATTTTCTATATTTTAGAAGAGACAAACTTGCAGTTAATGCAGGAACCACACTGCTGCAGAGAGTCCAGCAACTCACCTGGCTCAGAGGGTCTCAGACTCCTTCACCACCAGTGATTTTACATTTTAGTCAAGGATAAAATGGTGACAACAGTAAAGTATTCTACTTTTGACCACTGCCCAATGAAACAAAAACTGCCAATATTTAAACTTTGTGCCAACATTTCCACTTTATATAATGTAAGAAATGCAATGCTGACATTTACTGGTACATGGGTAAAACAATCTGCAAATGTTTTACAAAAAGAATTAAGTGGGAGAATATGCTCATCATCAAACTAACCTGGCCCATCTAATGCAACACAATCCAACCATTGTAGTTGGAAGCTTTATTTTTTAAAGAAACTGAATGGTTTTGTTTTTAAATTAAATACAGTAAAAACATTGTTTATATTAAATTCTCCAGAAAAATAGTAAGAGCAAATATAGTGTGACAAGGAACATGTTTGTGTCACAATACATATTCATTTGTTAAAAAAAAAATAGAATTTAAGGAGTACCAATCATAAAGGTGTTTATGGGACGTTCCACCGTGTTCATGGGTTAATTGTGGCTTGAAAGAGTGCTGTAGTAAAAAGACGAGTGAATGAGGGTGAACTGGTAAAATATGTCCATAGGAGGCGCTCTCTACTCACACATTAGTCGGTCAATGCGCTAGATCTGCGGTGTGTAGATCAGCAGCTCACCGCTTCTTTCTAGCCGCTGAATTTCTGTGTGGGGCGTTCAGCAGCAGCAGCAGCAGCAGCAGAGACGCGTCTTCGCTCCAGGAATCGACTGACTTTGTGGCTTCACCAACATCAGTCTGTTTCTTCGGGACTTCTCTGGTCAGAGAAATAGAAAGATACACACCTTCAACAGTCTGGAGCAATTTAAATTGTAAACACATTCTTTATTTTTTTCCGCCTGAGCGGCGACACTGAATATTTTATTGCTGCTGAAGGAGACGTGCTTCAACTTCAGCAGACATTTTGTTAATCTGAAAATTACATTTTTTTTCTCCTCGGTGCTGTCGTAGCTGTTTGAAGACAGCGGAAAAACTAGAAGCTTCGAACGGAAAGTGTATCGATCCCTCTCACCCGCGAGCTTCGTCCCAGACGCCGCTCTCTTCCTCCGTGTCTCTGAGGGACGTTATTAATTTACACGCGTTTAGTTCACGTCGCTGCAGCTGGAGCGTTGATGCGGAAAGATCGCGACAGCCATGAATCACGTTGACGGACAGCTGGAAAAGAATTAGCTCACAGATGCAGCAGCAGCCGCGGTGGGCAGTACTGATGCTCGTTTCCTGTCCACGCACGCTGTGAACAGGAGGACAGGACAGGTCCAGCTGAAGGCTCTCACATTATTACAGCCACTATTTTACTGCGATTGCGTGGCCCGTCTCTCGCAAGTATTGCCGGAATTTTGTTTGTTTGTTTGTTTGTTTGTTTGTTTTCCCTGGGGCGGTGGTTATTCACAGTGTTTAGCTACAGCCCTGCTGCTAACAGTGGACAGTCCCCGTGAAGGCTGAGAGCTGTGGACAAAGGAGCAACGCCAGAAGGAAAACATATACAAACACGGAGCACACAGCTGGGAGTCTGGAGTAAGAGCAACAAACCAGGACCTGACATGATGTTTCCACAATCACGACACTCAGTAAGTTTAACATTTTTTTTGTTTTGTTATCCTTTAAAATATTCCACCCGGTTTGTCATGTCAAGCTTTGAGACAGTAGAGAAAGCAAGCTATGGATTGAACATTTGTTAAATAATGCCATCTGACCAGGGAACAGTGCTATTTTGGGCATCTTTTTTCCCACTGTGTTGGGTTTTATTAAGGAGGCGTTGACAAACTTTTTACACAAGGACTGTTTTTTTAAGACGACAAACGACTGGAAACTAGTTTACAGTACAATCCATTTTCTGACAACAGTTCCACATGGCATTGTTGCAAAATTCTTCTTCCTTTAAAACAAAGTCCTTTGTTTGATTTTTGCACGTGTGGTTCATATAGCTTTTATGAACGTGCACAAATCTGGAAGGATATTTGTTTAGACATTTAATCTCACATTCAATCTTAAACCGATTAATACCATTGTAGGTGAACTCAACTTTTCAAGCAATCATTTGGAATATGAAAAAGTCTACTGTATATTTGCCATTGTTGCTATGTATTCTCCAACGTCCATAATGTTCATAACTGTACTTCAATTTGGCATTTTTATTTAGGTACTAACCAACGTTTAAAAAAAATCTTTTTTGTACATATATACCTATTTAATAAGTCCTATTTTTATTTAATTTTTAATTTAGGCACTTTTTCCAAAACCCCTAAGTCTTATGGGAACTGTATCGCATTTTTAGGCCCGCGATGATGCACAGAATTGTGTGTATGTGGGTTTAATTATATGTCCTGCTCTTCTCTTTGTTCATGCCTCAAACTGAAAGAGATAGAAGAAAATAGTTATTATAAAAAATAGATAACAAGAAAAATAATTGATGCATTTAAGACCAGAAGAAAAGGGAGCACAAAATGTCTTGTTTAGAACTGGACAAAACTAGTATTGACGTAATTATTCAGTCGCGCAACCTCTAAAATTTAGCCTCGAGTCAGTTCTAAGTTGTGACCTACATTATGAAATGAAAAGTACAGCAGTATTTAAAAATGCTAAATATCCAAAGATGATGTATAACATATTTATCCCAATTACATTTAACTAATATGACCTAAATATTGACTAAAGTGAATGTGGTTTCCATTCGTCCATTTCAAAACTCACCCAAAACATGCC